ACTTCCCAAGTCAGTGTTCTCATGAATTTTTAAAACAAATTTTAACGTTTTATTTTTTGAGAGAGTGCGAGCAGGAGAGGGGCAGAGAGAGAGGGAGACACAGAATCCGAAGCAGCCTCCAGGCTCTGAGCCGTCAGCACAGAGCTCGATGTAGGTCTCAAACCTATGAACGCGAACCAGGAGATCATGACCTGAGCCGAAGATGGATGCTCAACCGACTGAGACACCCAGGCGCCCCTCATGAATTTTTTGATGCAGAACTTCAAAAACATGTCTTACCTCTGACAAACCGGGAGTAGATCCCCTCAGGGTTAGGGAATCCCAGGCAGGGAAGCAGACACAAGGTGCTCCCAGTTTCACTGATCGTGCTCCCAAGAGCCTTAGTGTTCAACGCTATTCCAATTAGAGACTCAGAGGCCTCTGGAACCTTTACCTGAGGCAGATGAAACTTCTTTCCCTTTAAGTTGTGAATAAAAAGATGACTCAGTCTTGCCTCACAAGACTCAAACTTTTTTTTTTTTTTTTGCCACAACCTACAGTAATAAGGAACTTTTCCCTCCAATGCAGCTGACGCTTTCAGAAGTATACATAAACCTGAAACAAAAGCTTCATGAAACAGTATCTTTACCATATATTTTTGAATCTATTATTTCATTAAAAAGACAAGCGGGTCATAATTTATTAAATGGATTTTACAACCACCTGCAGTTTGAAAAATTGCAACACTACAGTATTTCTCTTGGATGGAAGATAACAGGCTGACATATGTTAATACAGGCAATTCCCTACTAAGGATCAGAATCTTTCCAACCAATGCTCATGTATTACTTGGTTATTTGACATTTGAAACATTTCCCGTGAAACAAGATGGTTGGGAAAGGAAGTAACATTCACTAAGGATCTATTACATGCATTATCTCATTTATTACTCCAACAAATGATCCTGACCGGAAGAAAATACTCCATCACACAGATGGGAAAAATTAAGGCTCGGAGATTAGTAACTTTTCTAGTGTAGTAGAATTTGACCCCAAGACACTTGACTCCCCAAAATGTGCTTTGTAGCACACTACAGCATTTTCTTAGGTTTATAATCACTCCAAACCTTGACTTCTCCAAAAAATAAAACCAAATAATCCCTATTCAAACCAAATTGAGCAGGATATTATAGAGCCTAATCAGCATTTATGGGGATAATCTTTGTAGAGGTCATCCTTAATTATAACTTGGGCTCTCAAAAACACATTCTCCACAGTGGTAGCAAGATCCTTATATCCCGCAAATTCCCCAGTTGACTCCTAAAACAAGCCACAGCAAATGGGAACAGAATTCTCAGTGATTTCAGAGGCAGCAGGGAGACAAAGAGGAGATGGGGACTGCTTGAGACACCCCCAAGGCCAGTAGGGGAAATCTAGGCATTTCCAGGGTGGAGACTTAAGGACGTAGAGTCTGGCTCCTTTGCCCTGACTAGGTCTACTTCATTTGCATACATATTCCCACTGTCTTGACATCCCTTTCCCTACTCCCCAGGAGTATCTGGGGAAAAAGAAAAACGCTCCAATTTTGCTCAGCTTTAAAAGGACTCTGTTGCTAAAGCTGAAGTATGAACCACCATTCCTGATACAAGTGCCTGAAGCAGAAACGACTTTACACTCCGATACTGAAAGATGGCAGGTGGAAGGATGGGTAGGTGAATGGTTCTTGAGGAACCAGTCTGAATATGCCCATCGCAAACCCGTTTCCAGGCCTGATAAAGTGATTCCCGGAATGAAAAGCAAAAAGCACCCGCACACTCCCCCTGCTGGTGCAAGCCTGCTGCTAACTGTCCATCACGAGGTCAGAGGAATCTTAGCTGCGGCCCTCCACCCCGAGTATTGGCTCACGTGGGAGTGAAGCGTCACGTCTTTATGTCCGTGTGGCTGAAAATTCAGGAGCTGTTGGGGGTGCTGGGCTTTCGCCCCAGGAAGAAGAACTGGAAGCACTGACTTTCTCTTCCCTCCTCCCTTCACTCCCTCCCCGAGGACGAAGGGTTGCCTCTGCTCACCTCAACTTGTCTTACCTATTACATTCTTCCTTTTTACTAATTTTTATTGGTTTAAATTCAAGTTAGTTAACACACAGTGTTATCACATCCTTTGTGACTCCACTGTCTATGGCTAGGCACCCCCCGCCCCCAAGCTAAAGTGAGCAAACGAACATTTTATCAGTCTTTTATTTATATTTTTGGAGAAGATCTACAGTTTCACGAGAAACACTGATTTTTTTCTCAAACAATAGAAAAAAGTTAAAAAAAAAAAGAAATCTAGGGTCTAGTGTCTTAGAAGAATAAAACAAGTCTCTTCAGCAAGCATCGGGCCAATTCAGACGGGAGTAACCAGTGAAGCAGGAGTCACACACAGGAAGTTCACATTTATCCAGTTTTAGGAAGAACCCAGATGTCGTCTTGTCTGGTTCTGTAAGGTTCCAAGTGGACCGGCTCAGCCTAAAACTGGCAACAAGCTGACCAGCACAGCCTCCGGGGGCCGTGTCGTTTGGACACGGGTGGCTCACTCTCCGGGAGGCTGCATCTGTTTACAGAACTCATCGAACTGCTGCTGCTCCAGCTCTGTCATGACTCGGTTGAGGGCATAGATCTGAAGGGAGAAGCCGACATGTTAGCAGACGAGGCAGCTGCTTAAGCAGACACCACAGGCTGGGTCAAGGGCAAGTGCCGGGCCTGGGGCAAAAATGCAGGGACAGTGATAACGGAGCACAAGAGACGGCTACTGATTCCATCTGGAGCATGAGGAGAGAAGCAGGCAGGTGGCTTGATCTGGCTTTTGAAGCTTCAGTAGGATCTGGACAAGCAGGGAAGAAAGGACATACTAGGGGGCGGGCAGAGGGTGGTGTGACGGAATAAACAGAATGGAAGAGTACAGGATTAGTTCTGGAACCTTCAACTATGCTAATATGAAGGATATCACAGCGTGTGGGGAGGTGGAGAAAGCACTGAGGATGTTGGAGCCTTAAATGCCCTGCCGAGGCATCTGGACTTTGGCCAGACTCTGGAGAGCCAGCAAGATTAGTGCGCAGGGGAGCAACCCGATTGTATCTCTGCTTTGGGAGAGATAACTAGAGACCATGTGAGGGATCAAGTAGGGGAAAGAGAGATTACAGGCCCCTTAGGAGGCATCATCACAATAGTCCAGGGAGGAGGCGGCAAGAATATGACGACGTAGGGCAGGCAGCGGCGGTGGAATGAAAATCTCAAGAGACATTCTCAGGTGAAAGGTGGGGTCTCTACCTCATTCCTCACCTTTATCCTTGTGGTGCTGATCTGTCCACTAAAGAACAGAAACATCATAAAACGCCCCCAGTTGTAAAAGAGAAAAATGAAGGTGTGTTTGTGTGTGGGGGCGGGGGGATGTAACTTGGATCAATTTAAGAGAAGACAAGAAAGGGGGAAAAAAGAAACCGAGCAGTGAGACAAATAGAAAACACAAAATAAAGAGCAGAAAAGGCAACCAAATGTGTAAGAGAGGATCACTAACCATGCAAGATGGTTCTTTGAAAGCAGTAGAGAAAATCCTGCAAACCTATGACAGGGTGAACAGAGATAAAAAGGGGGAGACACAAACATGACTGGAATCAAAAAGAAAAGATAATCACTGATCTAATGGAGACTAACTCCAAGTATTATGAACTTTGTGTCAGTAAGTTTGAAAACTTAAAATGAAATAAATTCCTACAAAGAGTAAAATGATCAAAACTGACTACATAGAAAGGGTGAATGATCCTACAGTCCCCCCATGTGTCTGCTATGGTGAGACCCTATAATCTCTAAGGAAAATGGGAATCCCACACAGTGATGAGGACAGTGACAAGCAACATAAATGATTATCAAAAAGCAGAATACTGATGGTTAAGGGGCACCTGGGTGGCTCAGTCAGTTAAGCGTCTGACTTCAGCTCAGGTCACGATCTCGCGGTTCACGAGTTCAAGCCCTATATTGTGCTCTGTGCTGACACCCCAGAGCCTGGAGCCTGCTTCAGATTCTGTGTCTCCCTCTCTCTCTCTGCCCCTCCCCCACTCGTGCTCTGTCTCTCTCTCTCAAAAATAAAAACTTTAAAAAAGCAGAATACTGATGGTTAAAATGGTTAGCTTTTAGGTTATATACACTTTACCACAATGAAAATAAATGCATAGATCTGAATAGTTTAAAAAAAAAAAAGCGGAGTGAAGAGAGACAGTCACAGAATGTAGTAACATATTTAAAAATTCAGAAACATGCACAACTAGATAGTATATTGTTAGGCCACAAAGTATTACTTGGGGGTACACAGTGGAAGAGTAAATTAGTACAGAACAGCAAGGGCATGATCGGCATAAAATCAAGAAATTAGGCCATGCTAGTGGGAAGGGTTGGGGACAAGACCAGAGTGGGGCCCGAGAAGCTTCCAAGTTCCTGGTCGTGTTCTATTTCTTCAGTTGGGTGGTAGGCACAGGGTTGTTATATTCATCTCCTTTAAGTTGCACACATTATATATACATATGAATACACATACTTCTTATATATGTAGATTAGATATAGATTTATAGATATAGGTATCATATATTTGAACCTCGGCTTCATCCGTTCATGCTTTACTGAGCATTTTAATCTGCATCTGACTGAGCTGGGGACTAAGAAGGATATGAAGTAGCTTCTTGGAGACCAGAAGGCAGACTGGTAGAAGGGAAAATAAAATAAGCAGAGAAAGAAGGGACTCAAAATAGGTCAGCAGGTCTGAGCCAAGGAATGAAAGACTTTTGAGAAGGAAAGAGTCGCTAACAGTGTCAAATGCTGCTTCACAGCCACATGTGCCCTCTGTTCCCATTTATCCCCCACATCGCTCCATCACATCAAACTTTCTAGAATGTGCCATCTTCGTAGAACTGAATGGAAACTGTGTCTCCTTTTCCCCGCAAGGGTCTTGCCATTTCTATCTTAAAGAGACTACATCCCAGGCAGCACAGATAAAGCGAACAGCAAGGTCACTGTGGGGCAAAGCAAAAAGCAGGAGCCGAAGGTCAGATTTAGCTGGCAGTCCTGCCCCTCAATCCCTCAGTAACTAGGGTTCTGTGCTTTAAAGTGAGGATAATACCTTCTACCTCACAAAGTCACATATCCTCTATCTCTTCCTTATGCCAGGCAGGATTTACAAAGGTCAGAATAATGGGAGGAGTAATAAGCCCTAGTGTGAAGATACACGTGGTCATGCACGTGCAGGCTGGCCCCGTGCCTGGGAATGTTACATTTCAATATTCCTTTGCAGCATATCACCATAAACACGATCAGTCCTTCAATTCAGAATCCGCACAAGTAAAAGCAGGCCAAGTGCCTGGAAGCACCCGATCTCTGCTAACAATCTGCTGCCATTTACTGGGTGCTCTCTCGGTGCCAGGCCCTGTGCTAAGTGCCTTACATACATTTCTGTTCCTCATGACAATCTTGGAGGTAGAGGTCATCATCCTCGTACTAAGGGGGGGACTGAGGTTCAGAGAGATGAAGCATCTTGTCCAAGGTCCCATGGGAAGAACTGGGGTTCATAGAGGAGCGGGGATTTAGAGTTGGACTAATAAATCTAACCTGTGGAACCTCACCAGAAGGATGTCAATAAGGACAAGAATGTCCCTGACAGCATCTTTCCTTACAGTGTGCACAAAGGACGGTTGCCTCAGGCTGTTTCTTAGAGCAACCCTCCAACTGTTCCCCAAGGCACAATGCAATAAGAACATCTGGGGCCTGGATCCAGGTGGGGATGGGGAGGTGAAGAAGGGGAGAATAATTTGTTAGAATCCAAGTCCACAGCCCTCAGGCGGTCGGTCTTAACCCAAAGGTAGATTTCTGTGTATGGATTAACTTCAAACACTCTATTATACAGTTTACTTAGTATAAAGCGCCTCCCCCAATGAATGCAGCTCCACGAAGGCAGGCATTCTTCTCCGCCTGGTCCAGTCACGGGTCTCAAGCTCCTGCAACGGCGCCTGGCCCCTAGTAGCAGCTCAGGACTTAATGAACGGATCAAATCAACAAAAATGTGAAGTCTTTCGCTATCAAGTAGGAAAAGAAGTGAGGAATGAGAACCCCCTTACACTGCTATCACCTCTTTGACAGCAATCTGGCAATGTCTAGTACAACGGAAATATACACAGCCATTCTACTTCTAGTTATAGATGCTCTACGGAAATTCTAGCACAGGTGCCAAAGCATCTATGACATCAAAAAGTTTTTCACGACAGTAATATCTGTAGTAGTAAAAATCTACAAGTAATTTAAATGTTCATTACTGGAAGAACGGGCAAATATACCCAAGTGGATTCATAAAACAGACTACTGTATCTCTTTTTCTCCTATGCTCATTTCTTTTGTTTCTTAAACTAAGAAACAGACTCTTAACTATAGAGAACGAATCGATGGTAATCAGAGAGGAGGTTGGGGTGGGGGGGATGGGTCAGGTGGATAATGAGCACCGGGTGATGTATGGAAGTGTTCAATCACTACATTGTACACCTGAAACGAATATTACACTGTAAGTTAACTAACTGGAATTTAAATAAAAAGGCAAAAAAGAAAATAAAATAGATTACTGTAAGCAGTGATGAGGAATAAACTACATTATTATAATAACATGAATAGTCCTAAAAAACATAATGTAGGCAAAGGGTCAAATAAAACACAGAATTTTATTTTTTACTTGTTTATTTTTCTTTTTTTAAAGGAGGATTTTGTCAGTTTTTAATTTTTTTTAATGTTTATTTCTTTTTGAGAGAGAGACAGAGAGAGAGCATGAGTGTATGAGTAGGGGAGGGGCAGAGAGAGAAGGAGAGAGAATCCTAAGCAGGCTCCACACTGCCAGCACAGAGCCCAGTATGGGGCTTGAACTCACGAACTGTGAGATCATGACCTGAGTTGAAGTCAGATGCTTCACCAACTGAGCCACCCAGGTGCCCCTACTTATTTATTTTTTGATAATTTTTTTTAAGATTTTATTTTTAAGCAATCTCTATGCCCAACATGGGGCTTAAACTCACACCCCCGAGATCAAGAGTTGTACACTCTACTGACCAAGCCAGCCGGGTGTCCCAAAACACAGAATTTTATTAATATAAAATTTTAAAACACAAAAGAACATTGTATATTGCTCAAGGATATCTATTAATATATTTGAGTGTTAAAGCATAAAACATTATAATGGTTGCCCACAGAAAGGGAAAAAGGGTGTAAGACAGGAATGGACAAAGAGGACTTCAAATTCATATGTAATTTTTATTTATCTGAAAGGCTCCAGGCGAGTATGACAAAATATTAATCACCACCAATCTGGGGTGCTGAGTACGCAGGTGTCTGTTCTAATACTCTGTTCTTCCGTATTTTTTAATGTCTCAAAAAAGGAACAAATAAAATGACCAGAAAGAGGGAAGACAGTGCAGCAAGCTTTCTTATGATATTAAATACTAAAAAAAAAAAAAAAAAAAAAAAAAAAAAAAAAAAAAACCCTACATGTCTGGATGTGCTCCAACAAAGGTAGTGTCAACAGTTTAGCTTTTCATTCTCAAGTTGATTGTGTCGACTGAACAAAGGAACAGGTCTGGTGGCTATAGGACCTGCTCCTCTTCTGGTTATGAGCAGCTAGCTGCTCCCCGGCCAAATCCCGAACATCTGTGCTAGGGGGTATCCAACACTTGTTGTCTCACTCTGACCCCTCCCTCACATGTCCCTTCCGTTTTTCCTTTCTTCCTTGCACAAAGGCTCTGCACCAGGAATCACGTGGGGACGGTCAGGGCTCTGACAGTAACCTGGCATGAGACTCTGGGCTGCCACTCCATCATTCTGGACCTCGATCTCCTCCCAGGAGAGCACCTGCTTTCCTGGAGGCAGAACTGCATCACAGTTCTCTCTCCTGTCTCTATTCCAGCATCATCTCCAGCAGACCACAGGTATACTTGCCCATCTTTATCTCACCTCTGCTCTTTGTCTTTGCTTCAGTTCCTGCTGGGCTGATTTCTGCTTGGCCTTCTCCACTCTGCTGACAGGTTCTTTAACTTTGGATTTTTCTTTGCGGGCAGGTGGATCCATGACTTGGCTTCTGAACGCTTCCTAGCTCTGATGATGCAGAAGAGACTGATGAACAACAGAAAGAAAGAAGGAAAGAAAAGAAAAAAGAACTGCCGGTCCCTTCCCTAACAATCCCTGAGCTCAGCCCCTTCCTTTGACAGGGAAGGCAGAGTGGCCAGGTGAAAAGGGTGCTGGATTTGGTGGACTAAGACTGAATCCCACCGCCATGACCTTGCTGGGCGTCGCTGGGCGAACCGTTATAATATTCTATTTTTCTGTATTTTCAAATTTATAAGAAAAAGAAAAAGCAAGAAATGAATAAAACTAATATAAGGAGGGAAGAGAGTGCACCAAACTTTCTCCTGATATTAAATACTTAAAATCCCCTCCCCACTCTGAGCCTGTTTCCTGTCTGCAAAATGGGCCAACAGCCACATTCCCTGCCTCCTTCCAAGGCCTGCGGCGTGAGGATCAAGCCAGAGGACCTCTGAAACGTTCATACACTGCAGCGCGGTTCTGTGAGGACACCGCGGCCCGGCGGGGCCGGCCCACGCGTCGGAGCGGGTCGGCGGGGAGGCCCGGGCCTCGCGCGGTCTCCGGCCTCCGACCCGGCGCCTTCCCACGCCCCGCCGGCCGACAGTTACGGCCCCCCTCCGCCGAAGGGTCCCCGCCTCCCGCCGCTCCGCCCGGGCCCGCCCGCCGCAGCCCGCCGCCCGCCCGCGGCCCAAGCCCGGCCCCGGGGTACGCCTCCCCGCCCGCCGCTGCCCTCTCCGGGGGCAAGATGGCGGCGAGCAGCGGCCCGGAGTCGCCGCCGGCCCTTCTCGCCTCGGGACTCCAGGGCCCGGCCGCGTCGCCGTGCAAGACCCCACGCGGGACACCCCCGCCTTTCCCTACCTCCCGGCTTGGACTCGCTAGCCCGCCGCGCCTAGGATTGGGCAGGGCCGGGGGCGGGGCCGAGAGGCGGGGCGGTGGGGCTGGCGCGCTTTGAGGCCCCGCCCCCGGGAGAGCCGCGCGTGCGCAGAGAGCACATCTGGCCATTCCCAAGTCATTCCAGAGTGTGAGCTCTGGGGCAGGGGCAGGAGGTGACCAGCAAAAGCTTTCCCTGGGATATTTTCTGGGACAGCTACTAGGCTTTGAAGAGTGAGATCTCAAGCCGGGACGAGAATTGTTAACTTCCTGGCCTTCACTATTCTTAATTCGAAGAAAAGTGTAGATGGTGACCGCCGCCTTCTTGGTTTACAAGCTCGTTAAGAAGACCAAGGGAGGGAGGTCCTGCTGGCCACAGTGTTTGGAAAAAGGAAATCAGGACAGAAATGTAAATAACCAATATAAACATAGAGAAACGTTCAAGCTCATCGATAATACATAATTTTACATTTTTTTATAATTACAATTTTACAGTCATTTAAAATAATTTTACAAATCAAAATAGCTGGTCATCGTTTCTCATTTATTAGATTAGAAGGATTGAAGAAAATGGTAGGTAAATGACAACAGAAATCTTGTTCAGTCTAATCGTAATAATAATAATAATAATGATAATGGCTGCCTCACACACTGTTCTTAGAGCTTCACATTTATTAACTCATTTATTCCTGTTGATAAGTATGTATGACAATGGACATGTATAGGACCATGTTGTTATCCCCATTTTACAGGTAAGGGAACAGAGGCACAGAGAAGTTAAATGACTTGTCCATGGTCACACAGCTAGTAAGTACCCCAGCAAGTATTTCAGCCAGGATTTAGGATAGGAAATGGCCCATCCAGAGAAAGACGCGGCCATGTAGACCCCCCAACTTTTGTTCCTCTAAGGACTAGGCAAGAATTGAAACAATTGATGGATGCTAAGCAGGGAGCTGTTCAATGGATATAGACTTTGAATTTTGCAAGATGAAAAAGTCCTAGAGATCTTTTGCCCAAGAATGTGCATATGTTTAATACCATTGTATTGTACACTTAAAAATAAATAAGATGGGAAATTTTGTGGGTTTTTTTCACCACAATAATAATACAAGCATGATCTTTGACTCAGCAATTCCACTTCTAAGTTATCCTAACTAAATAATCAGCGATAGCACTATTCTTAAGAGTGAAAAACTGGAAACAATAAAAATAATTGTAATAGGGGTTGATTAAATACATCATAGGATAGCTGTCATGGGAGTCAATGCAGTCTTTAAAATGACATAGCAGAATATTTATTGATGTAATAAAATGTTTTTATTAAATGAAACAGTTAAAAAGAGGCACATACAACATGATCACAACATTTGTTTTATTTTTTCAAAAAAGATTATTCTGGACATATGGAAAAAAGATTGGATGAAAACATACCAATAGGTAAATCCAGATTACTTTGAGAGTAGAGGGGATTTTTATCTTCTTTGTGCTTTTCTGTATTTTCCAAAATTTCTGCAATGAACACTTATACCTTAGCAAGATTTATACTGTCTTTTAATTAGAAGGAAGTCTAATAAATTTCATTTAAAAATGCTATACGAATGGTGATTGGATTATTGTTAATAATAAAAGTAGCCAAGTTAGACTGGATTATAATACAGCTGGAAACAGGCATAGGCCTTTGGAAAACTTTAGAAAGCCATTCTAAAACGGATTGCATGCAGGGTATGAAGGAGTGGAAAAGCCGAAGTAGAAGATTAGGAAGAATAGTGGAGCCACTGATAAAAGTGAAGGTATGCTGAGTTAGTTTGGGAAAGGATAAAGAAGAGGGTAAATTAGAGGGGTGTGTGTGTTAGTTTATACTCGAGGTGGCAATAGGCAAGAACAGTTGTCTAGCTCCAGAAAGGTACAGGTGTAGAGACACTGGTTTGGGATTCTTCATCAGGATAGGAAGGAGGGGGAATCTGGAAGGAGGGGGAGTCTGGAAGGAGTGAAAATCCCCTCCCCCTAATTCCTCCATGAGTTTATGATATCTATCTATCTATGCATCATCTGTCATCTTTTTGTGACCATCAACAGACTGTTGGCCAGTCTGCTTAATTCCCTAGTTGGCTGAGTCAGAGTTTATGTTGATACAACCACAGTATATTTTTACAATTGAGGTGTATACCATACTAAGGTTACATTCACTTTATTGAATAATTTTTTTTCCTATAGTCAAAAATTGCCTTTTCCCCCCCCATTCACTTAGTTATGTATGCATCTATTGTTAATTCTTCCCCAAATTCTCCATCTGGACTATAAAACATCTCTTGATCTGGTCACGTGAATCTGGTGATCTTTCAGTGTCTTTTTTTTTTTTTTTTTTTTTTT